TATGAGAGTGCAATGCTCTTAAAATAGAACGAGTGTGCCTAGCCTTTATTTTGGGGACTTCATCGTTGTCACCGTCTCTCCTGGGAAAGGCAGTGAGAGACTCTTCCCCTTCAGAGGAGCAGAGTAATTGTGTAACCTGAGGTGTCCCCAAGGGAGCCAAGGAGGTGATGTCAGCGCATGGGTGTTTGAAATATTACAACTTCGTTGTTGTTGTTTTGTTGTTGATGATGGTGATCAACAGTCCAAGAGATGCTCACCTCTCCAAACTAAAATGTAAAATGAAATAATCTTATCTGTGAAGCGGTGAGGAGGTTGGGGACATGTAATGGACGAGGCTACACCTGCACATTATAAAATGCTACACATGTATAAGATCATTATGTTTGGTAGGTAGAAGCCCTGGTCCTCTCAGGGCGGTACCATTCCACAATGGAATTCTTATGAAGCAAACTGGTGCCACTTGGGTGAAATCCACACTTGTGCACTAACGTGGAGACTAGATGGATGTGCAAAAGGTGTAGTGTCCACCTGAGAGTGATGCTCAGTTCTGTTGCGATTAAGCTACTTTTCTCGGCACTCTTGCAGGGTAAGTGTAGTTGTCTGGGGGAGCAGGAACCGAGAGAGTGTTTGGTTCTCGGGCTGATTGCTCATCATCTCTTTCGTCCTAGGAATCCCTGCGAGGCCTGGCTGGGTTCCTTCGTGCTCATTTCCTGGCACTTGGCCTTGGGTCCAATGTCACCTTTAAGTGTTTTATGCTGAAAATGGTCAAGGAAACATGCTTCTTACGTCATGGTTTCCTCCCTTTCCTCTTCATTAGCTTCACTGTATTTGGAGCCTCGTTACCACCTGTGAGCAGGACCGATGGCTTACTCAGGGGACGATGCTAATAATTCTCAAAGGGAGGCTTCTATCTGAAGGTGAATAGGCAGAATACGAATGTTGCTGGCCACCTCAGCCAGGGTTAATGGAGCTGTGAGGGGCCCATATCTAGAATCCTTGGCCATGGCTCTGTTTTCTCATTTCTGCAGTTTGTGACAGCTCGTGTTTGAATTGCCCTCTTTGTAACCAGAAAAGTGCTCAGTTGGAATCCAGGTTTTACCAGAAAGAGATGAAAAGTGTCCCAAAGGGCTTCATCTTCAGCAGATAATGGGTTTTGACCTCTGTGACATTTTTGGTTTCAGACACCCAAGGATCAGCCGCCATGATGGCCTTGTGTGTGAACATGTCTGAGGGGCTGTGTGTGCAAAAGTGGGGGAACCTCCCACCACTCAGCTGCCATGTTTGATTTGCTCAGATTTCATTGCCATTTGCTACAGGGACATCTGCACATTTTTCTGCTCTGCCACATGTAATGCACATCAGTTCAGCCCCAACCCTCTGCAGAGGTCAACCATCCCCCACCTCCGGGCATCCCAGGGGCTATAGAACTGAGGACATACAATACTCTAAATGGAATATTGAAGATCCCATCTGTCTGGCAGTCCCAATCAATACATGTGAATCCTGCTTTCCCCCTTCAGTGCAACAGACCCGTCACCACCTGGTTTTAAGACAAGCGTGAGATGTGGGCTTATAAGGGTTACTGTGTCCAAGCGCCCAGCTGTCACAGTGCTGAGCCAGGAGAAGGATTATGCGCTTAATCATGCTATTTTGTTACTAAAGGGTTCTTTTAAATTCCCATCACCCTTTTGCTTCAAGAAAAATGTACCAGTGTCTGAAATTGTAGGTGCCTTTCTGCTGCTTTTATTTCACTTGCTGAATGACTTTTTTTTTTAAGAGCTTTTGTTCAAGCAGTTAAACCTAGGCCCTGTGGTTCTGGGCCATCTTGTTTAGCTCCTGCCAAATTACAAGGCTGAACAGGGAGTCCAGTTTGTGTTGACACAGCACTTAGGAGAGCAAGCAGGTCCAAGACGTCCTATCTGGCCAGTCCACAGCACTTCTAGTCAGTGAAACGCCTAGCTGTAATGGGGTGGTTATTCTTTAGGGCCCCAAATCTCAAAACCCTGCAGAAGTCTCCAACTCTTTAACCACCAACCAAACATAAAAATCTGCTCCTTGTATCTGAGTGGGGGCATTGCTGGAGCCTCGGATAAAACAGACGGTACCTGGTCAGCCTCTGCCACCAATAAAATGGCCTGCAGCACAAGTGACCACTCCCTAGCATCAGATTGCTCTGCAGAAATTCTTAGCTTTAAGCCAGTGTGAACCTGGCTTTGGCCCTACCCCGTGGGCCTGATTCAGAAGGAATTTGGGATGCTCAGCTGGAGTAGGGGTAGGTGGGGTATACGGGGCATGAAAGGATGCCTGAGGGTGGAGGGGGTAGGGCGAAGTCTTTCTAGCTGGGATTGTGCTAATTAACCTGAGTGAGGGGGGTGAGTAACCAAAAATAACCACTGCCATTGAGGAACCCTGGTAGTGTAGTGGTTGGTGATGTGTTAGGCTGCCAACTGCAAAGTCAGCAGTTCAAAATCACTAGCTGCTCTGAGGGAGAAAAATGAGGCTTTCAATTCTCATGAAGAGCAGAAAACCCACAGGGGCAATTCTATCTACCCTGTCCTATAGGGTCACTATGAGTTGGGATCAACTCAATGATAGTGAATTTTTTTGTGTGTGCGTGATTGAGTTCACTGCAACTCGGTGACTCTCTAGGACGGAGCTGGACTGCTCCCTAGGGATTGAAAGACTGTCAATCTTTGCAGAAGCCGGCAGCCTCATCACTCTCCTGAGGCTGGCGGGTTTGAAATAACCAACCTAGAGGTTACCTGACCACATGCTCATAAATGGGGGCAAAAAACTAAAACCAAACTCACTGCCATCAAGTTCATTCCGATTCTTGGTGAACCTATGGGGACAGCCTCATCTTTCTCCCAGAGCTAGCAGTCCAGTGCGAACCACCGGCGTCACTGGGGCCTCCTTTCAACGGGTGTAGAGGCATTGCATGTGTCGTTAGAAGAGGATGGGCTGTGGTGGTGTAGTGGTTATAAGTTGCGCTGTGATCCACAGAGCTGGCAGTTCAAAACCACCAGCTTCTCCTTGGGAGAGATACTAGGCTTTCTATTCCCATAAACAGTTAACAGTCTTGGACACCCACAGGGGTTCTGACTCGATGGCAGTGAGTTTGAATTAGAAGAGTGGCTTGACCACCAGCTTTGGGGTCATGGGCAAAGTCCTGCACCGCCACTTTAGTGAAATCAGACTAGCTGTTGATTGTTCCTCAGTTCTACAGTCAGACATGTGGGTATAACTGAGTGGTAAGCCACAGAAGAATGGGTTTTTTTAGTGGGGGGAGGGTCGGGGGGACAGGCACAGAGATGATTCATTGCTAATGTTTGAAGGATCTGAAATCAGAGGACACATTTTCACTTGTGTCACCCATGTAATAGATTGAATTGTGACCCCAGAAACACAATTTATATCCCAAACTTCATCCCTCGGGAAGGGGTGTTTTGCTATGTTAATGAGATAGTCTGAGCAGGATGTCCAGTCTATCAATCTCTTCTGAGGTATAAAAGAATAGAGGACGCAAGGGAACAAGCCAGCGATGGGGATAGATGGGTGGTGCCATGCTACAAGGAAGGTGGCCAAGGAACTGAGGGACCGAAGCTGACAAGAAACGAGGACCTTCCTCTAGATCCACACAGGGAAAGTGTTCCCTGAGAGCAATGCCTTGCATTCTAACCTCTAGTCGCCTATACTGAGAAAATGACGTTTCTTGTTAAAGCCATGCACTTGGTTATCATTGGCCACTGACAACATTGCAATGCTCTCCAGAGGTCTCTGTGGAGCAGTTCACTTCCCAAACTACTGCTCGGGTAACAACAGCAAAGTTCAAGCACACGGCAGGCAGGGGTTTCCACGTCTGGCCCCAACTCTTTTTCCTTGCCTTGCTTCTCTATAGCGTCTACTCAAGACCAGCTAAGCTGTGTTTCACAAACATAGCATCCTTGGACCTGTGCACAAGTTATCCCCTTTATTTGGACGAGCTGCCGAGAGAACGCCTACTCATTCCATCTGAACCTATTGAAACGTCCCCTTCCTTCCCTACACGCAGCCAGAGCATTTCTGAGAAAGTGCCAACCTCTCTTTGTGGATTAAGAGTCAGAATCAACAGTCGTATTAAGCTTTGTGCTAACAGAGCCTCACACTATGGGTGGGATGTAAAAAACAGAGGACTTTATCAAATGGTGACTGGG